AATGTAACAATTTACTTCCTAGATTAGCTTTTGTTTTTTGCTATAAATTCATTGTACATTTCATTGTGAAATATGTAATAAAAACAAAGTATTTCTTCACATGGTATCAAAGCCAGGTCTCTGAAGTTCCAAATTTTTTTCTCTTTCTCAGTTTTTTTTTTTTTCTGGCGACTGTTTTCCGGCGATTGCTCTCCAACAAAGATCAGGATCTAGTCTAATCATACCAGACTGATTGTCTCCTCATCGTTGTCATAACCCAAGTGGTTTCGTCGTCGGCCGCCGCTACTTTGTAGTCTGATCTTCAAGATACTCTGATCTTCTTCATGGATCCCCCTAAATCAGCCTCTCAGTCACATTCAAGTGGTTCTTCTTTTTTATCTCTCCCTCTCATCACCATTGAGAAATTAATTGGGACTGCTAATTATTCATCCTGGGCTGCCTCTGTCGAATTATGGTGTATGGGTCAAGGTCTGGAGGATCACTTGACCACTAAGGCTACCGATATTACATCAGATAAGTCTTCCTGGACCAAATTGATGCTCTGTTGTGTAGTATGTTATGGCAAACTGTTGATCCCCCCCTTCACCCTATTTACAAATCTTACCGCTCTTGTGTTGATATTTGGAGTCAGGCTAAACTTCTCTATACAAATGACATTCAACGTTTATATTCTGTTGTGTCTAACTTAGTTCATCTCAAACAACAGGATATGAATATGTCGGACTTCTTTAGTAAGATGGCCTCCCTTAAGACAGAATTCAATCTGTTGTTACCAGCTGGTAAATCTACGGCAGAAGATTTGGCTCAACGGGACAAGTTCTTTATGGTCATGACACTTGCAGCTCTGGGTCTAGATCTTACACCTGTTAGAGATCAAATCCTTTCTGGATCTACTGTGCGTTCCCTTGATGAAGTGTTTGCAAAATTACTTCATGTTTCCTCCCCTACTACAGTGCATTCCCCTGGTGACTCTTTGGTTCTTGTTTCTCAGTCCCACACTTTTACTAAAAGAGAACAGGGCGATCAAGGTGGTAGAGGAAATCAACCCAAGTGTAGTTACTGTCATTGGTGGGGGCATACCAGAGAGAAATGTTTTAAGTTACATGGTCGACCTACCCGGGCTGCTAATATTGCTTAGGCTGATCACTCTTACATTCTAAGTCCTCTACAGTACAGGTTCAGCCCTCCTTAACTCTCACAGGTACTGATTATGAAGAATATTTATAGTATCAGGCCAGTAAGTAGTCTTCTTCGTCCATTGACTCCGTCGCTCACACAGGTAATTCAGTTGTCTGCCTTACTCTATCTTCCGCTTTAGGACCTTGGGTCCTGGATTCAGGTGCCTCGGATCATATTACTGGTAACCCTCATTTACTTACTCAGATTACAAATACTGCGTCTTTACCCTCTGTTACTTTAGCTAATAGGTCTAAAGTCGATGTTCAAGCTATTGGTTGTGCAAAACCCTTCCCTTCCTTAGAATTAAACTCTGTGCTTTATATTCTCCACTGTCCCTTTAAACTCGTGTCTGTCAGTAAACTTACACACTCTTTAAATTGCTCTATTCATTTTGATACTGACTCTGTTGTTATATAGGACCACAACACGGGACGGATGATTGGCACAGGACGTGAGTCATAGGGTCTCTATCATTTCCATATCCCATCTACAACATGCATTGTCTCTGAGTCTCCGGATCTCCTTCATAATCGTTTGGGCCATCATAGTCTTTCCAAACTTCAGAAAATGATCCCAGGTCTATCTAAATTATCGTCATTGAGTTGTGAGTCGTGTCAACTTAGAAAGCATACTCGTAGTTCTTTTCCAAAGCGTGTCAATAAACAGGCTGCGTCCCCCTTTGAGTTAGTGCATTCAGATGTGTAGGGTCCTTGTCGTGTTACCTCTAATTTGGGATTTAAAAATTTTGTTACCTTTACTGATGACTATTCCCGTTGCACTTGGTTATTTCTTATGCGATCTCGTTCTGAATTATTTTCCAATTTTCATCATTTTGTGCTGAAATTAAGACTCAACATAATACTACCATTTGTATATTACGGAGTGATAATGCTCATGAATATTTCTCTGATTCCTTTACTAAATTCATGTCATCTCAAGGAATTCTTCATCAGTCTTTTTGTGCTTATAGTCCCCAACAGAATGGCATTGCTGAGCGTAAAAATAGACACCTCATTGAAACTGCTCGCACTTTTCTTTTACATAGCCACGTCCCTTTCCATTTTTGGGTTGACGTTGTTCTAACCGCTTGTTACTTAATCAATCACATGCCTTCTTCTGTCTTACAAGACCAGGTCCCACACTCCATATTATTCCCTGATCATTCATTATTTTCTCTTCCCCCACGTGTCTTTGGAAGCACCTGTTTTGTTCACATTTTCTCTCCTGGTCAGGGTAAACTGTCAGCCAAGTCTACGAAGTGTATTTTCTTAGGGTATTCACGTCTTCAAAAGGGCTACAAGTGTTATTCTCCTGCCACACATCACTATTTCATCTCTGCTGATGTTACGTTCTTTGAGTCTTCTCCATTTTTTCCTCATCCTATATTAGAGTCTGATTCGATAGTCGATGTCCTACCAATTCCATGCATTGCTTTTTCACCTTCGTCTGTTTCAGTACCTCAATCTACTACTAATACCACTCTTCCTGTCAATAATAGTCTTGTTCCTTTTACAGGTGATCCTGATGTTCTTGCTGCTGTTCCTGAGACCCCTGTCACTGCAGGTCCTGTGCTTGATTCCTCTAATGCCACGGTCTTGTCTCAAGCTGATTAGTTTCCCATTACTATTCGTAAAGGTATGCGGTCTACATGCAACCCTTATCCCATCTACAATTTTTTGAGTTATCATCGTTTATATCCTTCATATTATGCCTTTGTATCCACCATTTCTTTTGTTTCTGTTCCTTGCACTGTTCATGAGACATTTTCTCATCCTGGGTGGCGTTAGGCAATGGTTGAAGAAATGTTTGCTTTGCATCATAATCATACTTGGGAGTTAGTTTCCTTACCCCCAGGCCATTCGACTGTTGGTTGTCGATGGATTTACACTGTAAAGGTTGGTCCAGATGGTAAGGTTGATCGTCTAAAAGCCCGTTTGGTGGCCAAGGGCTACACTCAGATCTATGGGACTGATTATTTTGACACTTTTTCTCCTGTTGCTAAGATATCTTCTGTCCGGTTGTTCTTTGTTATGGTTACCATTCGACACTGGCCTATGCATCAATTGGATATTAAGAATGCTTTTCTTCATGGTGAACTTCAGGAAGATATTTATATGGAGCAACCTCCTGGTTTTGTTGCTCAGGGGGAGTCTGGTTTGGTATGTAAAATTCGTCGTTCTCTATATGGCCTAAAACAGTCTCCTCGTGCTTGGTTTGGACGATTTAGTACAGTTATCCAAGAGTTTGGTATGATTCGATGTGAGTATGATTAGTACAGTTAAGAATGCTTTTCTTCATGGTGAACTTCAAGAAGATATTTATATGGAGCAACCTCCTGGTTTTGTTGCTCATGGGGAGTCTGGTTTGGTATGTAAACTTCGTCATTCTCTATATGGCCTAAAACAGTCTCCTCGTGCTTGGTTTGGACGATTTAGTATAGTTATCCAAGAGTTTGGTATGATTCGATGTGAGTCTGATCACTTTATTTTCTATAGATATACATCATCAGGGCAATGTATCTATCTGGTTGTCTATGTCGATGATATTGTTATTACAGGAAGTGATCAAGATGGCATTGGACAGTTGAAGCAACACTTGTTCAAACACTTTCAGACGAAAGACTTAGGGCTACTCAAATACTTTCTTGGCATGGAAATCGCTCAGTCCAAATCTGGTATTGTTATTTCTCAGAGGAAGTATGTACTGGATATTCTAGAGGAAACATGGATGTCAGATTGTAGACCAATAGACTCTCGTATGGATCCTAATTTAAAACTTTCACCTGGACAAGGGGAGCCTCTTGCTGATCCTGGAAGGTATCGAAGACTTGTTGGAAAACTTAACTATCTTACTATCACATGACCTGATATTTCTTTTTCTGTCAGTATTGTAAGTCAATTTCTTTAAACTCCATGTGATAGTCATTGGGATGCAGTTGTTTGGATTTTAAGGTATATCAAGTGAGCACCAGGTAAAGGCTTAATGTATGAAGATAAGGGTCATTCACATATTGTCGGATATTCAGATGCTGATTGGGCAGGTTCTCCATTTGATAGACGTTCTACCTCAGGTTTTTGTGTTCTTGTTGGAGGATACTTGGTTTCATGGAAAAGTAAAAAACAAGCGGTTGTTGCAAGGTCAAGTGCTAAAGCAGAGTATTGTGCAATGGCCTTAGCCACTTGTGAGCTTGTTTGGTTAAAACAACTAATTCAAGAGTTGAGATTTGTCAAAGTATCACAAATGAAGTTACTTTGTGATAATCAAGCTGCCATTCATATTGCTTCAAATTCAGTGTTTTATGAGAGGACTAAACATATAGAAATTGATTGTCACTTTGTTCGAGAGAAAGTTCTATCAGGGTGTATTGCAACTAGTTATGTCAGTTCCAATGACCAGTTAGCACACATCCTCACTAAGTCTCTCAAGGGTTCTCGTGTTGATTTTATTTGTAACAAGCTTAGTGCATATGACTTATATGCTCCAGCTCGAGGGGGAGTGTTGAAGTGTAAAATATGAAATATAATTATTCTCATTGTAAAATAGGAAATATGATTATTCTCATTGTAAAATAGGAAATAAGATTATTCTCATTAAAGACTATCTTCTATATTAGGTTATGATCAAATCTATTAAGAATTAGATAACTTATAATAGGAATGTAACAATTTACTTCCTAGATTAGTTTTTGTTTTTTGCTATAAGTTCATTGGACATTTCATTGTGAAATATGTAATAAAAACAAAGTATTTCTTCACACAGTAGTACCTGTTAAATAATCTCACAACCAATTATTAACTTGATCTTTGCCATTCCAGCGCATGTGATGCGTACAGAGTAGGAGAAAAATCAGATGAATAGCAAACCCCAAAACTGCTTTGACCAGCCGCTTAACAGCATTCATTCTCCTCTGCCTCCAGTTTTGTTTGTTTAATCACCCTAAATAAGAAACAATGAAGGTATTGCGTTTGTTGCCTCCTAGTAAATCTTGATATCGGTTCATATGGACACCTTGTATGATATTTTGATTAAACTCATGTACTTGAATTTTTCTTGGTGCAGTTGGAAAATTTTTGCATTGTGATCTGATAAATGTTATTGACTGGTTAGCGTTTGAAGTGTATTATTTTGCTTGTTTTTATCAGAAAATTTTAACACTTAGTTTTGCTTCTAGAAAGTATAATATAATGTGGCTTTGATAAAGATAGTTTTTTTATGGTTTAGTGTATGCAGAAAATTTTAACACTTAATTTTGCTTCTACATTAGGCAATTATGATTTCATTACATGAATGCTTCAGTATATGCATTGTGTGGGACTAGATAATATTAAGTTCATGAACAAATAATGATGGGGATGTAGAATGGTTTATTTGACAAGAGCAGATGGTTCAATGGTTTATTAGATATGGCAGTACATGAACTTAACTAGATAATAGTAGGTTCATGAACAAATAATGATGTGCGGAATTTTTGCATTATATGACATATCAGGTCTGCCTGAATGTGTTTAATAAACACTGTTTATTGTTTTTATGCTTGATAACGTAACAAGATACATATTGGTAAATACCAAATATGTGGCCCTGTCCTGTTTCCTTAGCTATAACTATGAGGAGAGAATTTTTTTTTTTTTTTTTATTTAGTTAATTTAATTTTATTCAATGTTTTTAACATACTAATTGATTTTTTTTTTTTTTTTTTTTAATATAAGAAATGAATGCGTCTCTCCAAGTGTCAGAGATGAAAATTAAGTATCTCTGATAGACGGCAGGGTTCAGAGTTATTTTGAAAACCACAAGAGTGTATAAGATTTAGGTATACCTCGGGGGAAATATGCCAAAGCCTAGGGCTGAAAATTATTCCATTATATACCGTTCAAGGTTCTCCCCATGGTTGGATTGAAATTTTGAAAGCTCACAAGCTGACCTGCTATTAGTAAGTTAGGATCTGCTGTCTGCTCTTACTCAAGAAGAGTGGAAGTACAAAGAGATAGGGACCCAGGATTTATCAGTAACTATTTGCTATTATCAGGCTAGCTTTCAAATTTATTGATAACGCCCTTGGGGATGTCTCGGTTTACTGCATTTGATCAGCTGGAAGAAGATACTGAGTTTCCCACAACCAATGAAACACATACGCGCCGTGGACAGGTAACTCTTTCTCAGAAAAAATAAAGATAGAAGAAAAATTTAGGTTCTCTATTTCTAAGATAATGAGAATAATGAGAATTAAAATAAAAGAAATTAAAAACCTAAACCAGATAAATGTTTTTTATTGTAGGTCAAACCATCTTTCGATTAATCTGCTTTTTTAATCTGAAAGGTTATTAGTATAGGGAGAGAAATTTTTATTCTTACTGCAATTTGAATTTTGTTTGATGTGATATAATTGTTGCTGTATTCTTTCCTTTTTTTTTTTTTTTTTCCAAATAATGATATGAATGGTACAAAAAGCCCCAAATTAGCTTGACAACCCCCGCTCCCTACTGTAAGGATACAATTGTTATCGTAGAGTTTAAACAATTTTTTCTACTTTTTGTTCATTTGTGGAAGGGTTTCAAGTAAAAAACAAGGTTTTTTTTTTTTTTTTTTTTTTTTTTTTTTTTTGTTTTTTTCAGGTGCACCTCTTAATAATAGTTTTAATTTTTAAACTCCTCTAGCGATAGCATGCTGTCAAGCACCATTGTCACACCCAGTCGATAACACTATTGCTCAAGGTGCTTGATAATGCACTGGTGCTCAATAAAAGATACTAGATGGTGCTCAAATGTGCATTAGACCAGTTTAATTGTAGAGATCCTATCAGGGTCAATGAATACATTAATCAAATTTCATAAGTAGCTAATTGTGGAGATGTTCAGTGTCATATCTGGGTTGAGAATCAATATGTATAAGGCTCTCTGAGTGGGATTAATACAGCAGAAAGCAAGCCAGAATGAAATATGATAAGCCTATTAAAATAGAAATGTAATCCTAATCTCTGCATAAACTCTAAGTGTCATTCTTCTGGTCTTTTGAAACAAATGTCTGCCAAACTTAAATTCAAATATCTCTGTATCCAAACTATTGCCTCCATGTGTATCTAACTGGGATTATGCATAAATTGGCTCACCACACTTAACATATGCTATATTATGTGTAGTATGTGCTAGGTCTATTAAATTACCTACTAAGTGTTGGTACTTCTCTTTTGCAACTAGAGCATCGTCTATACCTTCATAAGCATGTGTCTAGTGTAAATCGGAGTATTTGTCAACCTACACCCCAACGTTCCAATTTCTTTGAGGAGATCCAATATACTTCTACTGGGAGTTCACAATTCCCTCTCTTGATTGAACAACTTCAATTCCTAGTCATTCTTGGTCTTTAATTCCAGATTCTTTTGCAAGTCTCTCCTTCAATCTCTTGATTTCTTCTAAATCATTTTTGGTTATAGCTATGTCATCAACAAACAGAATGAGAATAGTAATTTTATCCTACCAGATTGTTTGACTAATAGTGCATGACCCCTTTTGTTCTGAGTAAATCTTATATTCTTTATTGCTTTAACGTACCTCCCAAACCAAGCTTGAGGTGGTTGGTATAGTCCATATAGAGCCTTCATTTAACAAACTTTATTTCCTTTGAAATTTTCTTCTACATTAGGTGGTATCTCCATATAAACCTCCTTCTAAGTCTCATTGAAGGAAAGGTCAATCGAGTTTGTAGCCAAAAATAACAATATAGGAACAGTGTTCACTGTTGCCATTGGAGTAAAGGTTCTCTGGTTTTCTATTCCATACAATAGGAAATTTGATTTCTATCATTGCAATTTGAAAGATTCAGTTATTATGTTATTTGTTCAAAAAATCTAGACTAAAAATATTTTGAGATTAAACAGGAATATGGACTATGATACTTAATTTTGCTTTAGTAAAATATTAATGTGATAATTCCATTGAAAGTTTCTGTGTTCTTTCAAATTTTACAGAAAACTATTGATATTGATTAGGGTCTCCTTGAATATTTTCAAGATAAATTCTTGTCACGGTTAGATCTGCTTCAATTACTTATCTGATTGTTGCTTGTTTGTATGTTGACAGAAAATCAATCAAATTGGGAAACAACATGCTCAATTTCAAGTACTTAATCAACATCATGACAATGAGATGGTGAATCCAAATTTTCAGATCTCATCAAGTACTAAACGAAGAAAGTTGAAATCCAAGGTTTGGAATGACTTTGCTTTGGATGAAAAAGATGGAAAGGAATGGGCTATTTGTAATCATTGTAGGAAAAAGTTTGTAGGTTCAGGAAAGAGTGGAACCACACATTTGAAAAATCATTTAGAAACCTGTCGAGGTAAAAACAAATTGGTTGAAGGTGCAGGTACATCAACTAAAACAAGTGATTCAACTACTTCTGTAGTTGTCAAAGAAAAATCTGTGATTGATAAGGAATTGAATCCCTTGGATGTGGCACGAGTTATAATTAAATATGGGTTTTCTTCATTAAACGCTATAAAGATTGACATACTTCATGTTTACAAAGAAGAAAAGGAAAAACTTATTCGATATATTGATAAACTCCCTTGTAGGTTTAATTTAAAAATTGAGTGGTTTCATAAAGGTTACTTTTTTATAGTACTCCAATTTATTGATGATAGTTGGGAACTGAAGAAGAAGATTATTGATTTCCAACGGGCAAAAGGTTTTGTAGAAATTCTTAAATGTTCTCTTTTGGAATGGAACATTGACAAGAAAATATGCTCTACAGTTGCAGATGTTGGTGGAGAGTCTGATGCAGTTATTTCAGAGATAGACAACTGGCTTTCTAAACGAGGTTCACTTCCTTTCATTGGGCAATTTTTCCCGATTGATTGTTTAGTATATTCTCTTCAACATTATATTAGGAATGGAGGAAAGTGGATATGTGATGTGCTTAAAAAGATGAAGCATTGCTTTGACTTTGCTCGTAAGACTTCATCAAATGAACGTATGTTTCAAACTCCGACAGAGGAATTCAAGTTGTTGGAATGTGCATTGGAGTTGAAAAACACATTTTGTGAGCTAGAGCGTAAGGACCCTGATTTTAAGTTAATAAACTTGTCAACGGAGGAATGGGATAAAGCTAGTGTGGTATGTGAATACTGGAAATTGTTGAAAGATGCTACTGGTATGTTGTATGAGAGTAAATATACTACTGCAAACGTGTATTTCCCTATAGTTTGTGACATATATATGCATTTGCTTCAATGGGAAAAAAGTGACAAGAATCACATCTGCGAAGTGGCATCAAGTATGAGAGAGGGTTGTTTTGACAAATATTGGAGGAAATGTAACTTGGTTCTAGTAGTCACGACAGTTCTTGACCCACGATTCAAAATGGATATTGTAGTACTTTGGTACAAAGAGATTTATGGTAGTGATGCTGAAGAACACCTCAACAATATCAGGGAAGATCTTACCAATGTTTTCAATATATACGCCAATCGCTTGGTGAAGAGCAAATCATCTATTTTAGGAAATGGTGCTGTTAATTCTTCATCGTTATGTAAAATGCTAGATGCGATGGGGAGGCTAGAAACATCTTCACACCATGTTGATGATATTGCAGCACCAATATTTGAACTTGATCGCTATTTGAAAGATTCAAAATTTCCTTTAGTTGAAGAATTTGATGTACTAGCTTGGTGGCGTATCAACTCTCCAAATTTTCCAACACTTGCAATGATGGCGCTTGATTTTTTATCTATACCTGTTTCTTCCTGTGTTGCTTCTCTAAAAAATGATTCGGTGACTGAAATTGAAAATATTATTGATCAGAAAGGTTTGGGTGCTGAAATCAAACAAGCTTTAATATGTTCAAAAATCTGGTTGCACAGCTCTGAAGATAAATAACTTTCTCTAGCTGTTCACACAATAACACCGACAACTTAAGAGTTTGCATATAAACAGGCTCACTTATAAGGAAGCTAGAATCATTTCTGATTCAAAGCAGATTGGGAAGAGCTAGAAAGAGGCAGCTTGGACCAATGTCTATTTGAATTTTGATCCACTGTGAAGCATTTACTCAGGTAATAACTTTATTTATGCATTAGTAGCTCTGGTAATAATCAAATACCCGATATATGTTAGAAGTTCTCAAAGCAGAAATTTTGGTGATTTCCCAGCTCATCTTGATCACATTTGTTTTGCAGGCTAGAACTTTTCCTGTGCCATCATCTTGGCTTGATTGAAGCTTTCGACTTCCAATATCAGCTGGAGCTCTGAAATCAATGCAATGATATCCTTTGATATGATTAAACCTAAGTACATGCGATACAATCTGGATTTTCCAAGATTGATGGAATAGTATCAGTCGATTTGATTAACCCCAACAATGATGATGAAGCAGAAACATTTCATGCCAATGGACAGGTAGCCTTCCCTCCCTTTTACTCATTGAAGTTTTAAGTTCCTCAGAAATCTGTAGTAGTGCGATTAAATTTTTTTTGCCAAAAATGATTAAATATTCAACTAGTTCTAGGTTTGATTCTAATTCATGATATCTGATGAGCACATTAGGTTTTAGGTTTGATTCTTGCAAAACGTTATAGAGGTGCAATCTGCGAAAGTTTTATTATAGCAAGTTGCTGGGTGATTATCAGTTTGAGGAGTTCCATCAACACTCTTTTTCATTGTCTTTCTCACTCACATTCATGTTGACATCTGTGCTAGAAAACAAAGAAAGAGGAGAGATAAAAGACCAATCTCTTTTTCACTTTTTTTTCTTGTACATGTGTTGAGATGGGAGGGTGAAAAGGAGAGTACTTTTAGCGTTGCTCTTATCAGATAAAATAAGTATGATGGACTTATATAAAAATTGGTCTGTCTGAACTGATATTAATGATCATAAATATTTAACAAAAGATTTGATGGATATCTTTTTAATATTGTCTTGTTTTATATCTTTGATATATATTGAAATTCATGTGCTAAGCTAGATATAAGAAGTAATTGTTTACCCTCTAAATTTAGTTTATTGATTATCTGCATATTTGCTAAATGATAATAAATACTTGAAATTTTTTAAAGATGCTACTGGTATGTTGTATCGCAGTAAATATACTACTGCAAATGTGTATTTCCCTATAGTTATTGACATATAAATGCGTTTACTTCTATGGAAAAAAGTGACAAGAATCACCTTCGTGAAGTGGCATCATGAATGAGAGAGGGTTGTTTTGACAAATATTGGAGGAAATGTAACTTGGTTCTAGTAATCACGACAGTTCTTGACCTACGATTTAAAATGGACATTGTAGAACTTTGGTACAAAGAGATTTATGGTAGTGATGCTGAAACACACCTCAAGAATATCGTGGTTGATCTTACCAATGTTTTCAATAAATACACCAATGGCTTGGGTAATAGCAAATCTTCTTCTTTAGGAAATGGTGATGTTAATTCTTCATCGTTATGTAAAATGCTAGATGCCATTGGGAGGCTATACACATCTCCACACCATGTTGATGATATTGCTGCACTAAAATTTGAACTTGATCGCTAATTGAATGATTCTAAATTTCCTCTAGTTGAAGGATTTGATGTAGTAGCTTGGTGGCGTATCAACTCACCAAATTTTTCAACACTTGCAATGATGGCATATGATTTCTTATGAAAACCTGTTTTCTTCTTGTAGTGCTTCTTTAAAAATTGTTTTGGAGACTGAATTTTAAAATATTTTTGATCAGAAAGGCTTAGATGCTGAAATCATACAAGCTTTATTATGTTAAAAAATCTGGTTGCACAGCTCTGAAGATAAATGAGTTTCTCTTGGTTGTTCACACATTAACACCGACAACCTAAGAGTTTGCATATAATCAGGCTCACTTATGGGGAAGCTGGAATCATTTCTGATTCAAAGCAGGATGGGAAGAGCAAGAAAGAGGCAGCTTGGCCAATGTCTATTTGATCCACTGTGAAGCATCTGTTTAGGCAATGACTATATTTATGCATTAGCAGCTCTGGTAATAGTCAAATTCCTGATATATATTTGAAGTTCTTAAAGCAGTAATTTTTGTGAAATCCCAGCTCTTCTTGATCCCATTTGTTTTGCAGGCTAGAACTTTCAATACTGCCTGTGCCAACATCTGGGCTTGATTGAAGCGTTCAATTACCAATATCAGCTGGAGTTCCGAAATCAATGCAATGATATCTTTTGATATGATTAACCTGAGTACATTCAATACAATCTGGATTATCCAAGATCGATGGAACAGTATCATTCAGTTTTGTTAACCCCAACAATGATGATGAAGCAGAAATATTTCATGCTAATGGACAAGTAACCTTCTCTCCTTTTACTCATTGAAGTTTTAAGTTCCTCAGAAAACTATTGTAGTGCGATTGAAATTTCTTTTTGCAAAAATCATTAAATATTCAAATAGTTCTAGCTTTAATTCTAGTTCACGATATCTGATGAGCGCATTAGGTTTTAGGTTTGATTCTTGCAAAAATGTTATAGAGATGCAATCTGAGAAGGTTTTTTAATAGCAAGTTGCTGGGTGATTATCAGTTTGAGGAGTTCCATCAACACTTTTGCATGGTCTTTCTCACTCTCACATTCATCTTGACATCTGTGCTAGAAAAGAAAGAATGAAGAGAGATAAAAGACCAATCGCTTTTTCACTTCTTTTTTTCTTGTACATGTGTTGAGATGAGAGGGTGAAAAGGGGAGTACTTTTAGCATTGCTCTTATCAGATAAAATAAGTATGATGGACTTATTTAAAAGTTGGTCTGTCTGAACTGATATTAATGATCATAAATATTTAACAAAAGATTTGCTGGATGTCTTGTTAATATTGTCTTGTTTTATATCTTTGATATATAAAAATTCATATGCTAGGCTAGATATAAGAAGGAATTGTTTACTCTCTAAATTTAGTTTGTTGATTATCTGCAGTTCTGTTATATGAGAGTAAATACTGGGAATTGTTGAAAGATGCTACCAGTATGTTGTATGGGAGTAAATGTACTACTGCAAATGTGTATTTCCCTATAGTTTGTGACATATATATGCGTTTGCTTCTATGGTAAAAAAGCAACAAGAATCTTGTTCGCGAAAGTGGCATCATGCGTGAGAGAGGGTTGTTTTGACAAATATTGGAGGGAATGTAACTTGGTTCTAGTAATCACGACAGTTCTTGACCCACGATCTAAAATGGATATTGTAGAACTTTAGTACAAAGAGATTTATGGTAGTGATGCTTAAACAAACCTCAAGAATATCGTGGATGATCTTACCAATGTTTTCAATAAATATGCCAACGGCTTAGGGAATAGCAAATCTTCTTTAGGAAATGGTGATGTTAATTCTTCATTGTTATGTAAAATCCTAGATGCCATGGGGAGGCTATACACATTGTTACACCATGTTGATGATATTGCAGCTCCAAAACTTGAACTTGATCGCTGTTTGAAAGATTCAAAATTTTCTTTAGTTGATGAATTTGATGTACTAGCTTGGTGGCATATCAACTCTCCAAATTTTCCAACACGTGCAATGATTGCGCGTGATTTCTTATCTATACCTGTTTTCTTCTTGTGTTGCTTGGTCAAAAATTGTTTTGGAGACTGAAATTGAAAATATTATTGATCAGAAATGCTTGGATGCTTAAATCAAACAAGCTTTATCATGTTCAAAAATCTGGTTGCGCAGCTCCTAAGGTATATGAGTTTATCTAGGCTGTTCACACAATAGCACCGACAACTTAAGAGTTTGCATATAAACAGGCTCACTTATAAGGAAGCTAGAATCATTTCTGATTCATAGTAGGTTGCTAAGACCAAGAAAGAGGCAGCTCGGACCAATGTCTATTTGATCCACTGTGAAGCATTTACTCAGTTAATAACTTTATTTATGCATTAGTAGCTCTGGTAATAATCAAATTCCAGATATATATTAGAAGTTCTTATAACAAAAGTTTTGGTGATTTCCCAGCTCATCTTGATCCCATTTGTTTTGCAGGCTAGAACTTTCAATACTGCCTGTGCCATCATCTGGGCTTGATTGAAGCGTTCGATTACCAATATCACCTGGAGTTCTGAAGTTATGCAATGATATCCTTTGATATGATTAACCTAAGTACATCAGATACAATCTGGACTATCCAAGATCGATGGAACAGTATCATTCAGTTTGATTAACCCCAACCATGATGAAGCAGAAACATTTCATGCTAATGGACAGGTAACCTTCTCTCCTTTCACTCGTTGAAGTTTTATGTTCCTCAGAAATCTATAGTAGTGCGATTGAAATGTTTTTGGCAAAAATTATTAAATATTCAAATAGTTCTAGGTTTGATTCCAATTCCTGATATCTGATGGGCACATTAGGTTTTAGGTTTGATTCTTGCAAAAAGTTTTAGAGGTGCAACTGAGAAGGTTTTATAATAGCAAGTTGCTGGGTGATTATCAGTTTGAGGAGTTCCATCAACACTCTTTTTCATGGTCTTTCTCACTCTTACATTCATCTTGACATCTGTGCTAGAAAAGAAAGAAAGAGGAGAGATAAAAGGCCAATCTCTTTTTCACTTTTTTTGCTTCTTGTACATGTGTTGAGATGAGAGGGTGAAAAGGGGAGTACTTTTAGCATTGCTCTTATCAGATAAAATAAGTATGATTGACTTATTTAAAAATTGGTCTGTCTGAACTGATATTAATGATCATAAATATTTAACAAAAGATTTGATGGATATCTTGTTAATATTGTCTTGTTTTATATCTTTGATATATAAAAATTCATGTGCTAGGATAGATATAAGAAGGAATTATTTTCTCTCTAAATTTAGTTTATTGATTTTCTGCGGTTCCGTTATATGAAAGTAAATACTGGGAATTGTTGAAAGATGCTACTGGTATGTTGTATGGGAGTAAATATACTACTGCAAATGTGTATTTCCCTATAGTTTGTGACATATACATGCATTTGCTTCTATGGGAAAAAAGTGACAAGAATCTTGTTCGCGAAGTGGCATCATGTATGAGGGAGGGTTGGTTTGATAAATATTGGAGGAAATGTAACATGGTTATAGTAATCACGACAGTTCTTGACCCAAGATTTAAAATGGATATTGTAGAACTTTGGTACAAAGAGATTTATGGTAGTGATGCTGAAACACACCTCAAGAATAATTAAGGAGAATATCCATAAAGTTAATTAATCAGAAATTATTTATTATTATTAATTATACATTGAAAAAGCCCTTTCTTATATGAAAGTAGTTATTAAATTTGTCATCAATTTTTTTTTTAATCTTTCATTTTTAAATATTTCAATTTTTTCTTTTATTTTGCCCCCACTGAATCAAATTTGTGGCTTCATCACTGATGACGCAAGCACATGATTTAGGATGAGAATAAATTGAAATGTTACCGAGACACGTAGTAATATTTGTACTTAGTTTAGTTTTTTATTTGTCAAAAATATTTTTTTGTTTTGGGGTCGTAATAATCCTCTGATTAATTTTGATTTTGTTTTCGCAGAAACTGAAGAATAGCCTGCTGCCACAATCAATTGCGTTGAAGGATTGCGATCCCGGTGACTGTATTTGTCTTTGCAAAGTGTCAACAAGCTTATGGGAATGTAGTAACAAAAGGATTGTGTGGCGGTGCATGTATTTGTCTTTGTTTTAAATATTGCTGAATAATTTTAGGGTAATTTTACAAATACTCAAGATTTTGTATTCCAACAACACGTTGAAAGTGTTAGATGGATAGTTAGTTTAACTGCAGTTAGTAACGAAGTTAGATGGATAGTTAGTTTAACTGTAGTTAGTAAAGAAGGAAGGTAGCTAAAGTTTGGTTAGCTAAGTTGAGTTAGTTCTGTATATATATTTAATGCTGTTGTTGTTAATAAAGAATTAGAGCAGAAAATTATTCTTCTTCTTCCCAAAAGTTCTCTGGTTTATATTTGTTAACATGGTATCAGAGTACTCCCATTAACAGCTTCTGCTTCTATTTCTTGATCATTCTCTTGATCGAAATCTGTTTTAGTTTTCATTTTCTGATTCAGATTCTCACAAAAATCCCTTCTTTGAGCCAAAATTGGTCAATCTGAGTTGTTTCCTTTGTGATGGCAAATGCTACGGTGAATCTTCTTTACATGCAGTTGATTCTAATTCACCTTTTTTCATTCATCCTTCTAACACACCTGGAGCTGTATTGGTCTCGGAACAGCTAATAAGGACTGAGAATTATGGAATCTATAGTCGAGTAATGACGGTATCGCTAAGGGCAAAAAACAAGTTAGGGTTTGTTGATGGCACTTGTGAAAAGTCTTTGATAAGTCCTTTGTTGATTATGCAATGGGATTATGGGAAAGATGTGACTCATTGCTTTTCTTGGATATTCAATACTGTGTCCATTGTTTTAAAAACCGGACTGTTCGTTGACCCGATCAAGGGGTCGATTCTCGGGTTGACTGGTCCAACCAGTTGGATAGTCGGTTTGATCAGTATATAGCAGACACATCTCTAAACAATTACATTAGTCTTTATAAGTTTGAAAACTAGCAAATACATCTTTAAAATTTACTCATAAGTCATTGTAAGTTTAAAATAAAGCAAATATTTTTTTCTCTCTCCCTATCACTTTCATCTTTCTCTTTTTTTCTCTCTCCCCATCACTCCTTGTCACTTTCTTCTAACACATTCCTGTTTTTCTATTGTAATTTTTCTCTCCTCTTCTCTTTCTTCTTCCTTACTCTTTTCTTTCTTCTAATCCTCTTCCTTACTCTTTCTCTTTGTCTCCTCTTCTTTTTTTTCTTCCTTCCCCTCCCCCTTACTTCACTTGACGGCCAAGAAGGCCTTTGGTTGTCGCAATCTGGCCAAATGAGGTCCAAATCGGACCGGCCACTTCTTCCTTCCCCTCCCCTTCGTCTTCTTTTTCTTCTTTACACTATAAATTTTAGAGTAAGTGAAAAAGAATAGGGATGAAAATGGAAGGTGTAATTTGGTCTTTTTATTGAAATGAAATGGAGAATGCTTGTTGGCTCAATGAAATGGAGAATGCTTGTTGGCTCAATGAAATGGAGCATGAAACGGTGTTGCAAATTGGTTTAGGAATTAGGAATAGGATTTTGCTTCACTGAGAATTCCTTTGAGCCAGATTGCTTCTTTAAATATATCAGCTACAGCCACGTATTCAGCTTCGGTTGTGGATAATGCAACTATTGGCTGTAGTTGTGATTTCCAGTTGATACAGTTTCCACCTAAGGTGAAGTAGTATGCAGTAGTTGATTTTCTGGTGTCCCTATCACTTGCAAAATCTGAATCTACAGAACCAACCAACTCAAGTGAAGGAGTCCATTTACAATAATTCAGTCCAACATTTAATGTGGTATTTACATATTTGAGAACCCACTTTAGGGCAGTCTAGTGTTCCATATCAGGGTTAGACATATATCTACTGCGCAGTGATATTACAAAAGATAAGTTAGGCCTAGTGCTAATCATAGCATACATTAAGGATCCTATCACATTTGCATATGGTATGTGTTCCATCCTAATTAGGGGTGGAAAAATCGGTTAACCGGAAACTTGAACCGAACCGGTTTTTGGTTTAAAAAAATAATTGAACCGAAACCGGTCCGGTTTCGGTTAAAAACCGGTTAGGAACCGAACCGTCGGTTAACCGGTTTTAAACTGGTTAATTAGGATTAATATTAGGCTGCATTTTTTTTGGCCCAATATGAATTATGGGCTGCATTTTTCGGCCCATTTCGGTTTTCTCTTTTTATTTGTTTTCTCTTTTTAACTGCTAATGCCCAAAAACAAGAAGAATTGTTTTTTCTTTTCGCTAAATATTGTACTAATCAAGTAATTTTTCTATCGTTTAATCTTGTTTTGCAATTTCCTTTTTGTTCTGTTTGCTACACAAATTTGATATTAGCACTGAGAATTTCTATTTCTACATATTCTATTGGGAGGTTTTGCATTTGCAGATGAAGAAACGAAAGCTTAAAAGCAGAGCAGAAGAGAATGGAACTTGAAGCAGAGAAAGCCTGATGGTCCCAATATAGATATTTTCCATGCATCATTTATGTCTGACCGTGGCAGATGAGATTAGTGGTGTTGTGTTTGCTGCACAAAATTTGATATACAAAATGTGTTGATGCTTCAATGTCAAAACCCAGCCATCACCATCAGTACATATACAAATTAAAACCAAAATCTTCAATGTCAAAACCCAGATCTGAAAACATGACAACACAGATCTGAAAACCCAGATCTAAAACCCACCGGCAACAGATGACGACGACGACTGCGACTATAGCTGAGCGACGACGAAATTTCTTACATCTTCACAAATCAAATAAACTTAAACAAACTTGAATATTGGAGAAAGAGACGAAAGAGAAGAGAAAAATGGAAGAGAAGAAAAGGAAGAGAAGATAAGACAAGACGAAAAAGAAAGATAATATCATAAAACTAAAGGAGAAGAGATGGAGAAGAAGACGAAAAAAAGGTGAAAAGTGAAAAGAAGAAATGGAGAAGAAGAAGATGAAGATGAAAGAGAAAAGTGAAGGAGAAGATGATGATGAAAAAGGAAGATGAAAGAGAAAAGATGAAAGAGAAAAGTGCAGGAGAAGATTGAAAATGATGGAAAAGATAGATGAAAGAGAAAAGTGGCGTTGGGTTGAAGTTTAATTATAATAACATGTAAAGTTTTTATTTATTTATTTTTTGAAACCGGTTTTAGAGTTCGGTTTCAGTTAACCGATTTTTAAAAACTTGTGAACCGAACCGATTAATCAGTTTATGGATTTTTTAAACCGAAAACCGAACCAGATTTTAAAAAAACCAAATTTTCGGTTCGGTTTTCGGTCTTTTTTACCACCCCTAATCCTAATCAGTTCAGCTTCATTTCTAGGGCATTGTGTTTTGCTCAATGTGAAGTGGCTGGCCAATGGCATAGTGACAGGTTTAGAACCTGCCATCCCAAATTTTTCCACTAATTTGTGCAAATATGAACACTAGTGGACTCTCAGCTCACATTTATTTCTGTTTCTGTCAATTTGCATGCCTAGAATCTTCTTTGCATCCCCCAAATCTTTCATTTCAAACTCAACACTAAGTTTCTTCTTCAGTTCACCTATTAGAGGCTTGGACTTACTTATTATTAGCATGTCATCCACATACAACAATAAGTAAACAGGCAGGTTACCATTAAAAGCAAAGTAGAAGCAATTATCGTATTTACTCCTAGTGAACCCTATACTCACAATAAAAGTGTCAAACCTTTTATACCATTGCCTAGGAGATTGTTTTAGGCCGTACAGAGACTTAAGCAGCAAACAAACATGGTTAGGGGTCTTCTGATCTATGAAACCTACAGGCTGACTCATGTAGATCTCTTCCTCGACATCTCCATGGAGGAAGGCAGTTGTTACATCTAGCTATTCAAGTTCTAAATCAAGGTGGGAAACTATGGACAGCATTAACCTTATTGTTTTATACTTGACTACTGGGGAAAAGATTTCATTGAAGTCTATTCCCTCCCTTTGGGTGAAGCCCTTGGCTATCAGTCTAGCCTTATACCTGAGGGGTTCTTTAGCAGTTATATCATCCTTCAGTTTGAACAGCCATTTGCATTGGATTACCTTTTGTTCCTTTGGCTTTGGTACTAGGATCCAGGTCTTGTTTACCTCTAAAGATTTCATCTCAGCTTCCATGGCAGCCCTCCATTTGTCCCTTTCCTTTGAGTTCATAGCTTCATCATATGATTCAGGTTCGATTCTCAACACTTTAGTACCTGCATGAAGGGCGGTGTAAATGAGATTAGCATTTGAAAATCTGGTGGGAATTCTTACCTGTCTTCTGGCCCTATCTCTTGCAAGTTGGTAGTCTTGCAAGTTTTCAGGCTGAGTTTCAGTGTCTTTTGCTGTTTCTGTCTCATCCTCTTGCTCTAGATCAGATTGTCCAGTTTCTCCTCCAAGTTTAGGAACAGCTTCAGTTTCCTGGATGGTTTCAGTTTCTTGCAAGTGTTGGGGTTGGGCAAGAAGCTCCACCTTAATTGGTGTAACCCCAGGCTAACTAGAGATCTCCTTAGAGCTTGAAGTAGAACCTACATCAGTGTTAGTTTCTTTACATGGAAAAACTCCCTCATTGAATATCACATCTCTGCTCACTATAATTCTAACCCCAGGTGACTCCCTGTCCCAAAGCCTATACCCTTTTGTTCCTTCTCGATATCCTAAGAAGACACACTTAGTTGATCCTGGTTCGAGCTTTCCTCCAGCCGAATGTGCATATGTAGCATAGCCAAATACTCTTAAATGTCTCCAGTTAGGTCTTTTTCCTGTCCATATCTCTTATGGGCACTTTAGGTTGATGGCAATGGAAGGACTCCTATTTATCAGGCTGAGGTAGTTAGGGTTTCTCCCCAGAAAGAGGTAGGTAGTTTGGAGGTGATAAGCAAACACCTAACTTTATCAAGAAGGGTACTGTTCATTCTCTCAGCTACCCCATGCTGTTGAGGGGTGTATTTCACAGTCCTATGCCTCAAAATCCTTTGATCACTACAGAATTTATCAAACTCTTAATTACAGAACTCTAACCCATTGTCAGTTTTGAGAACTTTAACCCTCTTATTCATTTAGTTTTCCACTAAGAGTTTCCACTCCCTAAACCTTGCTAAGGCTTGATCCTTAGATTTCAATAGGTAAACCCAAACCTTTCGGCTGTAATCATCCACCAGAGACATAAAGTAATAGTTTCCCCCATAGGTTTTAACTCTACCAGGCCCCCACAGGTCAGAATGGATGTATTCTAGTTGACTAGTGGCTAGGTACATTCCCTTTTGAAAACCGTTCTTGTGTTATTTTCCTAGTATGCATTTTCCAAAGAACTCCAGTGATGAGACACT